CTGTCTCAGAACAGTTCTGGGAGGTTTCTGCATCCCTTTCCTGTGCTTGGATGGAGGAAGTGAAACTAGGGAAGGTTAGGGGGCACTGGGGGCTGCCTGCAGCTGGGCCAGTGCAGGCTGGGAGCCAGATTGAGGGCATCTGATTCCCAGTCCCTTCTCTTTCCCACTGAGCCACTCCGCCTCGCTTTTAATTTAATTAGGAGAACATTTAATCCCCCGTGCATTTCAGAGACGGGTTTGAGCCTGGCCGGGGCCGTGTGGGGCTCTGACAGGGATCCTGTGACTCATACAGCCTTGCACAGCCCTCCCGGGAGGGCTCCCATGAGGTTTCTTTGGCACCTTGTGCAGACAGAGGTGGTCTGGAGATTCACAGAAGACAGGACACTAGTCTGGAAAGACAAACTGGTCTCATCTGTTCTTGACAAGCCCCCTTCCCTATCCTCCTGGACACTGCCCCCAACACGGCCTCTTAGTCTTCTCCCAACAACATTTGCAGGCTGAGAAGCCAAGTAAGAGAAATGGGTGCTCACTGAGGTGCCACAGCAGGCCCTGTTTGTCTCCAGGCCCTGAACATCCCAGGCAAAACTGTCCCATCAGAAGAGCTAGCCCCCTGATCCACTAATGCCTCCCTTTCAGGAAGGCATAGGCTGGCCCTAGCCTCGCTGACAAATGCAGAATTCAGGAGACATTAGTAGTGATGTGGATAAAAGCCAGGCCACAGCGGCCTCCCTGGAAAAGAGAAACTCAAATGTCTTGGCGTGAGATTCTGCAGGGTCCAGGAGAAAGTTGAAGACATGGAAATTCTAATTAACGCACGTGGGACTGGTTTTACTCAAGGATTTTTGAAGCTGTCATGTCACAGGAGGCCCGGCAAGCACATGCTCGCCCGGGAGGTACTTATGGGCACCTGGTGGGATTCTTGCAATGCCCTAGCCTGTGTTCTTACTTTCCCTCTGTCCTCCAGACTTTCCTCCACCCTCCTTGGTGAACTAGGTGGCCCCTGAATGCTCCCATCTCCCAGAATGGGATGACAGGCTTGTTTGTAAATAAAAGTTGAGGCTGCCAGTTGAAAATGTCACAACAGAAAAGTCAGAGGGGTCAGGAACCAACTTCTTTGAAGAAAGCTTCAGGGAAATTACATGACAAAGCCAGGCTGAGCTATAGGCTGCTGTGGTTATGGTAGGCTTGGCCTTTGGGGATGTTCATCTTGGTTATCCTTGTACAACTGATAGGGCAAAGATGTGGGTTCCAGACAAGTTCTGATCGGTTCATCAGCTGGAGGGTGGAGGTGAAATGGCTGTAGGAAAAGCTCACTGAGGCCACATCCAAACACTGTCCTTTAGCTTTTAGCTATAGGTGCTTATGTCCTAGGCTCCATATCTCAACATCCATGGGAGCTACCTGGAGACCTTAGTTCATCTCAAGCAAGGCTAAGGATGTATTGTCTGTGTCAGAGTAGAAGTGGCAGTCATAGGCTTCTTTCATCATGGAATTTGGGGAGTGCTGGAAAAGGAGTGACCAAGAGGAGCCATGGATACTTTGCTCCCTACCAGCCTCAGGCTAAGAGTCAGGGAGCTGTGACTTAGGAGCTTGATGATAGCCTCAAGAGGATGTAAAAGGTATCCTTGAGGAGAAGGAAGACTGACTAGACACTGGAAAATGGATGTGACTCCAATGGCTACAGGAGTGACAGGAGTATTCTAGCTGCTGGGATGCCGCACAAGGCAATGGATGCGTATAAGCCCTTGCCAGTTACAGTAAGCAGAGTCCTGGGAACTTAACCTAACTACTGGGTATAAGGCTACCCCCATCTCTTGTGGTAGTTCCTCTACATGTTGACAAAGTTCTCCAGTCTGTGTTTCATAATTGGCTCTCAGAAACCTGGAGCAAGCCTTTGAGTAGAAGACTCATCTTGAGGGAGCTTGAAGAGTACAGGGCTCCCTTCCAGTGATGTTAGAATCAGGAAGACAGCATCTGATTGAAATATGTATGCAAGCCTGAGGCCCAGCTGCCTAGAGCTGGATAAGGCCGGGGATGTATTCTAGGAGCTGCTGGTGCTTGTCTGTTGAGCTGGGGTCATAGAAGCTGTTGCATTCTCAGCACCCTTCCCTATTCACCAGTAGCTCTCTAGTTTTCAATAGGCCAGCATCTTGGCCTCTTTGTCCCCAAACTATCAGTGGCCAATAGGCTCTGAAAAAGAGGAGCTTCACCCAGCCCCAGGGACCTTTCCATAATCAAGGCTACAGTGACCTCACCTCCCTGGGGCCCCTGGGCGGGGAGAGCTTGAGATGGAAACAAAATGTGTCTTTATTTATGCTTTTAATTTGAATTCTGGAACTGACCCAGCATGGTAATACATTTAACATCAGTAAAATGCTGAAGAAAAATGGATCTGTTTTTTTCTGCAACTGCCTCCCACCCACTCTGCCCCCTCCAAGACCCTAGTACACATATCTGTCCCTGGTAGACGAGTACCAGGGTGTGTGCCTCTTTTTTCGATGTAGGTTCATAGGGCCAGTTGCCCACAGGAGCCATGCTGCATCACTGAGCTGCTGGAGCCTAGCTTAATTACAGACATCAATCAACAAGCTGACTGTGCAAGACACAAAGGAATGCAGTCCTGGTGTGGGCACGTGGACCCCATACACAGTACCCATGATGGCCCGTCTGTTTCCCCAGGATAGGGAGGGGGTCTTGGAAAGGCCAGTAGTCCTGGGAGCACATAGGGTTCTAGGACTCAGACACACACCATGCCTGTGGTTATCCTCTGTGCCAGAACTTCCAGCAAGGATGGCACTTGACTTCTGAGGATGTGGGTGTCCAGATTCTTTGATGCCTCAGCCCTGACTCCCAACTCTGCTTTGGCCAGATCATATCTTTTTGTTGAAGCTTGTGATTTCTTTCAGTCCCTACCTTAGGTCTTTTAACTCAGTACCACCATGGGCTCTTTCTTTCATACCTTCCTACCTTCTCAGCTTAGCTCACTTACAGCTGTTGCATTTGAAAGAACTTGCCCTAGAAATGGCTTTGGTGTGTTCCTGGGTGGGGACTTGACTGGGTAAAGACTGTCAACCTCCTACTCAGAGAGACGCCAGAATTGCTGGCCTGAGAAGAGCTGTGGTACCTGGATAGATGGTGACACATTAGTCAAGAAAGCGTCATTCACATCTCTGAGGCTCTGTTACTCAGAGGGGAGATAATTGGACTAGTTAGTACTTTGAGCAATGTTGTCTTACTGACTTAGGGCTGCTCCTGAAACAGATGGGAAGTATCTGGCTCCAGGAGCTTTGAGTGTACTAATACCACCACAGGTGGCCTTTTGCCCCCAAAGGGATGAGTGATTGTAGTACAATCAATGGGTTGAACTATGTGCATGTATCTCCAGTTCTCCATCCTCCTTTGGGACCCCAATGGTGCTTTCCTTCAGGGTCTTCACAGTGGCCAGGAGCTGCAAAACATGTTTGTCCATCTGGATGGATAGTTTTTTGAGAGGCCTGCCCTCTCTTGGGGCAAGTGCTTGTGTGTCTAGAGGCTACTCCATGACCATAAGGATAAAATGGAATGGATACCAACAAGAGGTGAGTGATCAGGAGGATAAGAAGGCTGAGTGGCCTCTCAAGGCTTAGGCAATTCTCTGGGGCCTGTTATGGTTGCCATGTGGCTTGCTACTAACCATCCCTACTCCTAAGCAGGCACCAAGCAGAGACAACAGTGTTTACACTTGAGTTCTCTCGTGCCCTGGACTTGATTGAGAGCCTTAACCATGTTCTACCCACTGACACCAGCCTATACCTGCCCAGTCTGTCTAGACTCCTGCTCACACCTCTGTTCCTACTAGTTAATACAGCCAGCCTGTAAGCCTGTCTTAGGAGGGAAAATGACCCCTGCTTTTCAATAACTTGCTGTCTCTCTGAGCCCATGAACACTCTCTACATCTTATAAACTATGCGACATTAGTAACCTTCCTTTGAGTTTGGGTGGCCTGGGAAAATAGGGGGCATGGCTTGTTTAATACAATCATCCCTTCTGACAAGCCTGCCTTCTCCCAGGGTGGCCTCAACTTGGCTATCTAGTTACTTAAGAAGCTCTCAGCAACAATTTCTTCAGTTACTGTGAAGTCAAGCCCACATTGGGAAGATAACAAAGACAAGAAATCTAGGCATAGGCTAGAAGCATTATGACCAAACACACATGGCTAAGGACATGAATTTCCATAGAAAGAATGAAAGAGTCCCAGTATGTAAATCCCAGGAGGATTAAGAGTGTGGCACTAACACCCTGAGACAAAGACACTTTTCTAGGGGAGTACCCAGCGGTGCAGTGGCCAGAAGGGGTCTAAGTGACCTAACTCTACCACATGGATGCCTCTACTGAACTTTGGTGGGAACATTTGAGTCACATGTTGCAGAGAAATCACACCATGGCTGGATACTGGAGATTGGCCTGGTGGTGCCGTGATGGGGGCCCCAACAGAGGAGAGAATGGGCATGTGTCCCAGGCCAGCTGTGCCTCAGAGCAAGGCCAACTGGAAGGCATGGAAAATCAGCCATTTCCTCCACCTGAAGGAGCCCCTGAGGACAGTAGCAGCAACTGGCAGACAGTACCCATCATCTGTCCAGTGGCTTTGGCCAGCGTTCTATGGGGAAATGCTAAAAAACAAAGTCGACTCTTTTGAAGGAGTGGTGGGAAGGGATAGGGAAGAGAAAACTATTTTCTCAGACACTCAAATCATGAAAACAAGTGGAAAATGATCAGTCTGGCTTTCCATAAGTCAAAACAAGAGGATCATATTTCCAGATTTGGTGGGAAAGCCCATACTCTCCTCTCCTGCCCAAGCCCTGAGGCCAACCCCAACAGCCAATGGCTCCAGGTTGTTAAGGATAGGCAGTGAGTTCTGGATACTGGGTGAATAGACTGCATTCCAGCAAGAGGATGAGCTTTTGCCTATGCCAGGGCAGTTCCCTTGAACCCCAAGCCTCTGTGGGTAAATGGACACTCACTGTGACACATGGGTGATGGGGGTCAGTAGTGTCTCCCCTTCCAGGTCCAGATCCTCAGCAAAGCTGTTCGTTCTCAAGAAATGGGGTGTGCTTACTTCCAGCAGTGTAGGGCTCTTCCTTACTGTGGAGAAGGTGTAGGGACAGCTCATTAGGCTTCAGTAGAAACTTGATCATGAAGGGGCTCCAGAGCTGGACAGAACTAGACTCAAATGCCCACCTCAACCTGCTATTGCTATGGGATAAACCTGTGAGCTCCCATGGTCAGATGAGGAATGGAGCCAAAGCTTAGAAATTTCAGCCTCATCATTAGCTTTACACTAAGTGGAGTGGAATAGGTGAATGGGTATTCAGATTAGTCCCCAGGTACCTGGGGCCTCAACATCCCAGATTAAGTGAAAAAGGCTAGAACATTCTCCTCAGTGTGGTAATTGCCCTGGGATTGAGGTCCAGAACTGAGAACCTGCCCTGTCTCAGGTTCTAGGCCTCTCACTAGCTTCACACAAAACATTTGTGTCAAGAACAAATAGAGGCACTGACTCCTAGTATTACGATGTTTATACACTGACAGATCAATGGGCCAGGCAATAAAGGGTTCTAGTACCTCTATTTAACAGGGATAACAAACGGAGTTCTCTACTCTGGCCATGTTGCTGTATTAACCAGGTGCTCTTTGAGGGAGGCCCCCAAATTGCCCCAGTGGCTGATTTCATAGAGCTCTGGGGACTGATCCAGATCAGTCTTCACAGCGTGTTCCAGCTTACTAGTGTTTGCTCTCAACTCACTTTTCATTTAAAGTATTTGATGTAGAGCAATTGAGTACTTCTAACAAGTGGAATAATTCACAGTGGTCCTCATTTATCGTAAGTGTCACCTGCTGGGCAGATCCCTGGCTCCTGTCTTTATTCATTGCCATAGCATATATGTGATGTTATACACTTGAATGAACCTCTGTCTTTATTGTTCTGTGACATGCTTTTCTCCAGGTATGCAGGTTTGCACCTAATGGTCATCTTAGCAGCATAATAGCCCATAGTTTAGATCTACCATAATTTCCTTATTCATTTTATATTTTATGGACATTCAGTCTCATAGTTTTATGCCAATCAGACAGTGAGGCAGTATCCATTTTTATTGTTAAAAGTTGCTGACACACTGGGTCAAGTGAGATGGTGTGTCTTTGGTAACATTGTTTTTGGATTGTTCTTCTATTAAGTTGTAGCAATTTTTTTCTTCCCCTCCAACTTTCCCACTCTTTGCATGGCCCATTAAGCATGGATAAAAACAGGTTTTCTCATTTTAAAAATTGTTATTAATTCTTTGAGAATTTCATATTCACTCTATCTCCTCCCAGATCCATCCTCATCTACCTCCTTATCCCCCAAGTTTGTATCCTCTTGTTTTAAAATTTAATAACTCATCAACTTCAATTTGTGCTGTTCATAATACTTCTGGAAGTGTACATATACTTCTGGTCCATATCCACTGGAGTGTGGTTGAACTTCTAGGAGTCAGACTGCTAAAGAAAAACTGATTCTCCTTCCCCAGAAGCCATTAACTGTCCATAGCTTATCAAAAACCTCTTGAGGTTCATGAATCTCTTCCCACCCAACAATAGAATGTTGACTGGCTTGATCCTGTGTAGATAATCACACAGCTGTCCTGTCATGTCCAGAAGTCGTTTTGTTCCAGTCCTTTTCTATAGTCTTTCCATCCCCTCTTCTACAATGGTTCTGGGCCTTGGGGAGGGGACAGTTTCTCATTTTTCACCTTCACTGACTGCTTTCTGGCTTGTTTGGGATTCTTCCTGTAGAACTCCTGTTCATATTATTTGCTTGACATTTAAAGGAGTTTATAATTCATTAGAGATAATAACCTTGTGTTACATAAAGCATAAATATCCTTTTTAGATTATGTTTGGCCTTCTAATACTATGTTGTTTTATCATAGAGACTGTCTTTTGTTTTTTTTACAGTGATACTCCTTTTACTTTATGAAATGAGTTTCCCACATCCAATACAGCAGTCTTTTACATTTATTTCCAATATAGACATACAAATGTGGGCATACATCTGTATGTGTGTATAAATTTTAACACAGTTAGCATTTATGCATAATGCAAGTGATGTTTAGTTGTTATAAAATGGAAATTCAAGACATACTATATGTAGTCTTACTTTTTAAAAATCTAAAATACAGCATAAAATTACAAGATTTTTAAAGAAAACATAAAATTCTCTAGAATGTTAGATTTGAAAGTGAATTGAGATGCATCATCAAAAATACAAAAGAGTAAAAAACATCAACTTTGTCATAATTAGGAACAAATGAATTATTGTTGTAACAAGCGCATTTTGCCAAGCAGTAAAAGAAGCAAGGAGTAACAACAGGCTTCATTAGCGTTAAAATCTTTTGCTTTGTGAAGACAATGAGACCAATTACATATTTGCTACACATCATTTACTGAATCAAGGACTTGTACCCAGAGCATTAGAAAGAAGAATGCTCATAATTTGACAATGAAGAAGCAAACAACCTATTCTTTTTAAAAAGTGGATTATAGGGACTGAAGAGATGGTTTAGTTAAGAGCACTGACTGCTTTTCCTGAGGACCCAAGCAACCACATGGCAGCTCACACCTGTCTGTATCTCCAAGATCTGTCTGTATCCCTCAGACAGACATATATGCAGGCAAAACACCAATGCCCATAAAATAAAAATAAGTAGAGTATTTTATTACGAAAGTGGATTATAAATAACCATGTGAAATTGTACTCAGCCAAAGGCAATTGTCTTTATGGAAATTTCTATTCATATAGGAATTAACCTATTCCATTCAAATTAAAGTCACAATGAGATAATACTGAAAATTATCATGAACATGGAAAAAGCATAAAATCAAAAACATTGTAACAGCAAGCAGTCAAAGGAAGCAAATTGAGTACAACCCTCATTTACTGCTGGTGGGAATGCAAAGTGGCACAGCTGTTCTGAAGAACAAACTTCATAGTCTCTTATAAATATATATACAGCTTATGACCGAAGTATATGGAATATTTATGTTCACAAAAATTTGCACATGAGTATTGTATGTATGTATGTATGTATGTATGTGTGTGTATGTATACGTGTGTGTGTGTGTGTGTGTGTGTGTGTGTGTGTGTGTGTGTGTATGTAGCAATTTCACCTATAATTGCAGAAAACAATTAGCAACCTAAGGTGTCTTTTCAACAGCTAAGTGGATAAACAAATTGTGGTATATCTGTTCCACCTATGCAATGGGATAATATTCAGAAAAAAAAAGATGGAGTGAAGAGCATAGGTGAATCTCAAGTGCATTTTGCTGAGTAGTAAAAGAATCAAGGTGTAACAGGATGTATACTGCACAATTCAGTTTCTAGGACATTCTAGAAAAGGCAAAACTACATGGGTTGTGAAACAATTCAGTTTCTGTTAGTGTTTTGGGGGAAAGGAGTACTTTAAAAGGCTCCAGTCAGAACATTTTTAGTTGAAGAAACTTCTCTGTATGATACTTAAAGCATTTGTCAAAATCCACAGGACTATACAACTTCCAAGTGTACGTCCCTGTATACAAATGGGAAAAAAATCAACCAGAATATTGGAGGTCCCTGGGACAGAAAGTGATTCTGTGTTGAGTAGATTCCGTGTTGCAAATACATGACACAGCACTGAAAAGATACAGGAAAGGAATTGGCCTGTTGCCTTTAAAAAGAATGTTTGGATTGGGCATTGAAAAATTAAAAAAAATAAGAAAAGAAAAAAAAAACACTGTCATTAACTCAATATTTTTGTAGGTAAGTTTGTTTCATACAGACAGATATGTATACCTATCAAGGGTTATACAAACCAGTATCTATACTAGAAAATGGGAGCTAGGGACAAAGTGAGGATGAACTATTTGGTCAGAAGCAGAATAAACTCAAGGTTAGCTGCATATAGATACGACAAAACATGGATGTGTATAGATTTCAGTTATGGACATATTTCCTAGTTTTACCTGCTGATAGGAAGTGTAAATAGTGACACTTTCATGCAAAGGAACACATCCAGTGTCCAGATCTTATTTTCTAACACTGTTAGTTCTTCAGTAAAAGCAAATATGGCTCTTTAGAAGAATGGGCAGTTCTGAGCCTAGCACAGGGAAACTACAAGATGAACCTGAAAGGAAGGAAATTGGAAGGCATGTCAGAAGGGTTCATGTACTGGTGGCCAAAGGTAGAAAAAGTTGAGCAACAAAACAATACTCAATGATAGCCGGAAAAAAAAAAATTCCCAGGTCCATATTTATAAACAAATAATTGAAAAAGAATTGAAGGACTTTCTTACAGAATGATTCCTATAAGTGTAGAAGGAATGAGTTAACTAGGAGTATACCATAGAAAATGCTTGCTTCAAGAAAGATCCATGGATGAATGGTAAAATTAGTAGGTGAAATCTTAAATAGAAATTTCAAATTCTCCCCTCCTCATGTTTTTTTCCAGTGACATTGATTGAATCCAGGCCTTCATGCATGCTAGGCAAGCATTCTGCCACTAAGTTACATCCTCAGTCCCAAAATAAATTTTAATTGCTTTAGTGATTTTTAACACATTCATGGAGTCTCTGATGCTCTCCTGAAAGAGACAGAGTGAAATTCCACATTCCGTGAATGTTGGCTAGACTTGGTGATTTGCTCTTGATGACTAGGTGTAATGAAGCAGTAGGTCAGTTACAGTGAGCTACTAACCAATGTAGTCAAGGCTAACTCTACTAGTAAGAGATCATGTTGATGGAAGAAAAGTAAAACACCTTGCCTTAATGACATCCACCAAACCTGTAAACCAATCCTAATTTGGGGAAAATGTTAGACAGACCCAGAGTAGCAATGATATAGGATGAGTATTCTTCAAAAGCATTAAGGCCAATAAGTTGCAGGCCATAGGCTACCCAGGACCTGATGAATGAGTGTAATGGTTAGACAGACTCTTGGAACATGAAGTAGTTAAACTGGGAAAATGACTAAATTATAGTTCAACAGTGTTATTAATTTTTTTAGTTTTCATCAATGTAAAATGGTTATTAGAAGATACTGCAGTGAAAGGTACATGGTAAAACTATTTTGTT